AACAGACTGTTGGCCTAGGTTAGGTTATTTCGACCGAAACGGAAAATTGACCCGAGTGCGAATAAACGATGGCAATGACAGCAGCGGCGGCGGCGGTGGCGGAAGTAGCAGTTCGATCGCTGCACCTCGGAACAGTGTTAGGCTACTCTTTGCATTCGGCGATATGGATATGCTTAACTGCAAGAACGGTTATGTAGTCGATCAGAAATTGCGATTTACTGGCGACACTGTATTTTGCCGCAAGATCGCCATCGATTGTCGGTCGAATGTGTACTTTCGTAGTCGTATGGAGCTGCGTTACGATGCCGATCGGGGCGTCATGTTGCACGTAGGAACTTTTCGAGCACATTCTCACATTTTCGTCAATGGCAGCAACAACCGTCGTCGTTCGACAGCGAGCGCCTCGTCGCGTAACGATCGCCCAGGACAATGACTACGAAGAAGAAGCGGCCGACAACGGCGACGGCGACGAAAACGATTGCGAAAGGAGAAATGAGGATAACGATTACGAAGAAGCGGCCAACAATGGCGACGAAGACGAACTGATCGAGTACGCGTGCGACGTTTACGTGACATGGAACGCATCGTTCTTGCATGAGCAAACTTGCGAACGGCGCAGAGCGCAACTCGGAATCGGTTCTGTTTAATCGATCAGCGTGAGTCGGCCCGTGGAAACAAAGACGCGTGTCGATACGCAGAGACGCGGCGATACGATCGCTCCGTTCCACCCGTAGCGGAAACCTTGGTGGAACTGTTTGCACGCTTTGTCAGAATCACCATGCGAGCTATCGATATGCGTCAGACGTTCAAGCTGCAAAATTCTTTTGGTCAAAAAGGAGTGGCTCATTATGACGATCTGTCTGGTTTCGTCACAGACCGCGGAGAATCGATAGACGTCATTTCATCTGTGTACAGCTTTGTCGGTCGGTCGGCCTGCGGCCAATTACTGGAACAACGCGAAAGTACGCGCCGCATCTTGTACGACGGTCGTTGCATTGGATACGTTAGCTACGGCTTCTTCTTCGTCAGCAATGACTCGCCGTATAATAATTTCATCTATAGCGTCAAGCACGCTGGAGACAATCCTATGCGCGCCTGTCGTCTCACGTACGACAGTTTGCTTGAAAATTGCGTCTCTAGTGCAGCATTCGTTAAAGCTAGCGAATTTGATTCAAGCGTCACGAATCGGTACGTGGGAATGCCGCGCAACGTATCGCGAGCGCTGGATTGTTACAACGTATACAATCGAGGCGTATGCCTCTCCTCGCAACGTGCTCTCTTTGCGCGAAAACGCATCTACGATCGCCTGCTTCTATGGTCCATTGGAGAAATGTGCCGTCATACTACGACACAACGCTAATAGCAGCCAAACGAAAACGCAAGACTACGTAACCCGCACGAGCGCAGTGCGCTGCCGCTACATTCTGCATTGTAATTTCAAGACCCGATTGAATAAAGAAAGTATTTGTAACATACGAGGGCAGTCTGAAAAGTTCTCGGCCTAACAATGAAAGAAAACTTTTTTGTTGTGAAATGTTTTATTTTTCAATGTAATCTCCTGAAACTTTAACACATTTATTCTAACGTCTTTCCAATATCAATTCGACTATGTCTTCAGCCGTTGATAAGTCTTGCTTCAGTTGGCTGCCGGATCAGTGATCGGTCTTACTTTAACTTTCAAGCTTCGTAACTCGGAAAGTACCCAATAAAACGTAACTTTGTTATAGTGTTTTGGAAAGCTCTCGAGATAAGCTATAAGAATATTTAATAAAAATAGGAGTTTCCGTTTGAAAAAACATTAATGACTTTGACCTGATTTTGACAAGGTCACTCAAGGTTAAGTCCATATTTCTATCATATGTCCCTCTTCAAGCAATGCAACTTTCATTCGAAAAATATTTCACTAAAATCATCGATTTGCGAGATAATCGCCCATATCACTTAAAATGAGACACCCTGTGTACAGCCAAAATCGAATATTTTATTCCGTCCGTACTCCGAGATCTCTTTAATAAACGAGAGCGACAGACGCAATGTAAATATCGACGATTTAGCGGTGATTGTGAAGAAGTACCTGCAAAGTACGCTATATGATCGATCATCATATTGGAATACGATGATTTATATCCGTCGTAACGTGATTCGATAATCTATATTCTTCGCGATGTGGTCGACGAATGTGATGTTGATTATGGCTTTTGTTATGAGTATCGAACGTTGATTCACGATGATCTGAAGCATGCGTCAAACGAACAAACGCTCGCTGAAATTCGCCGATGAAAAGGAATTGCGCGGTAGGTGCGAAACTCGAGCTATTGTATCGTCAACTGTGACGGAGCAAACAAAAAAGTCGCAGAAGCGTTGTAACATCATCTGTGATGACAAAAGATTAATCAACGAAAGAAATCTACGACTTCCTATGAGGAATCACGACTACTACTAAGAGGCAACAGAAGGTGCGAGTCTAACGATGGATTCGATGCAAACGTCTCGAGATAAATGCCGACATCGAAATGGTGACTGTGGTAAACTGGCGTGGTCGTCTCGTTTGCACATTTTTTCTATAATTTTTCTCCTCGGTATCGTAGCTTTGATTATGTATATGTTGATTGCGTATGGTAACACTGAAAATTTCGATCGCGACATGGAAAATACACACGACGGTGTCGCTACGAACGATACTCTCGTGCGCGCTCCTAATGCTGCTCGGAGTGAAATGAGCGACACTGACAGGGGCAAAAAACAAAGCAAAGAGTTGGAGGGTGTCCCTGCTTCGCGTCACAGTTTCGAGGCTACCGATTTGGACGAACGTGAAGGTGTGAGCAACCGTATGGATACAAACGCGCATGGCGACGAGAGCACAAATTCTGAAGCGGAGGATAGAAAGTTAATTCTAGCGCTGAGAAAAGCGCAGAGTAATGCGATGAGAATTAGAGTGGGAAGGCGACTGTAGATTTCAGCGGCAAAGTGTACGACAACATTGGCGATGTAAACAGCGATACTGTTCTGAATGCTAACATTGTGACACTCCACGCAGCAAATGTAAAGTTGGTTGAGGCCACAATGATGATGATAGAAATATTAGATAGTGTTTTAGCCATAGCGAAGGTCGTAATGAGCCAACTAGAATCTTGAACAATCAAGAATTTTGAACGTGTTTTACGGACGAGATGAGATACTTTTGTAACACAATATAGTTAAAGTCGAATATGTTATTCCGCTCGTATTTCGATATCTCTTCACATAAAACGAGAGCGACAGACGTAATGAAAATATCGACGACCTAGACTTGATGATTGCGAAGAAATAGCCAAAAATTACAGCGAAACACAAATAGGCGCATATGTTCAGACAAAACTTGGCAAGACCAGAGACAGTTAATGCCAAAATTAAAGCATACGCGCGACCCCCCCCCCGATCCCTTCGCACGAAACGACTTTTCCACCAACATCTCTTTTACATGTACAGATTAGCGGCCTACCGTTCCCTCTCTCACTCTGCGCCGAATCGGAACACTCGCATCTCCTCTATCGTAGAACAGTCAAGAAGTACAATAGAGTCAGGGATTACTGCTCTGTACTCCGGTATTTGCGCTAACATATATAGAATGGACAATTTTTTGCGCTGTCGATCGGCTCGAATCGATAGAACAAAACGTGAGCGACCGCGATGCGAAAAATATATACCGGGACTGCCTACAATATGAGGCAGTTCTGAAGTCACGCTTTTCGTTATGGCCACGAGTGAATAAGTTGAGAGAGAGAGAGAGAGAGAGAGAGAGAGAGAGAGAGAGAGAATATGCGCAACATGTCTTTGCAAGTTACGAATGAGTGTAAAAAGGGGCCTAAGGAGGTTCATCGTCGGCGATATCAGCAGACTATACGTGCACGTCGTCTCGTCCCAGGACGATGCCGTCGAATCGAATACGAACGGTAATCCATCGAGAAACCACTGCATGAGTTGCGAATCGTGTATACGATAGGACGTGATTTCGACAGAGAACTGTTGATGCGTTCGTTATTCGTGGAAGAGACATTGCGCTATCGCGATAGGCAGTATTCAGACCAAGTTGGACAACTGTCTCACAGATGCGTGGATCCTGCTAGCCAGTGTCTGGGAAGACCCGGATGTCTAATTGGCACATTGTCCACCGGAATCGATCACGAATACGTTCTCCAATGCGTCTCCTTGTACTTTTCATATTTTTATGACATCGAAAAAGTCTATCGCGTGTCGGACGTGGCGTTACGTCGCGCAGGTTACTCGTCAACGGAATATCGAAATGCGCGACTGTTCGGCGCTTGGTTAGATGCGAATACGCGAAAACTTTATATCGTGTGCGATCCGACCGATGTGGAGCGTGGCGTTCTGTTGGCCGAAGGTATCCGAGACGATCGAATAGCTGTAAATGATGAACCTGCAAAGTCGTTACATGATCGATCATCGTATTGGAATGATAATCTATATTCGTCGCAATGTGATCGACGAGTGGCATCGATTATGGCTTTCATTATGAGTATCGAACGCTTGATTCACGATGATTTGAAGCATCGATGGTTTGAATGCGTCAAACGAACGAACGCTCGCTGAAATGATATTCGCCGATGAAAAGGAATTGCGCGGTAGGTGCGAAACTTGAACTATTGTATCGTCAACTGTGACGGAGCAAACGAAAAGTCGCAGAAACGTTGTAACGTCGCCTTTGGTGATAAGAGATTTATCAACGAAAGAAACCTACGACTTCCTGTGAGGAGTCGCGATTACTAAGGTCAGATGGTGTTTGTGTACAGCAGAAGGTGCGAGTCGAACAATGGATTCTATGCAAACGTCTCGAGATGAACACGGCCATCTAAATGGTGACCGTGGTCAACTGGTGTGGCCGTTTAACCATTCTTTCTATAATTTTGCTTCTCGTCGTAGCTTTGATTGTGCATATGTGGATTGCGCATGATAACTCGGTTCACGATCAAATTCGTACGTACGTCAAGCAACTGTCTAACATGAACTCACGTTTCGTAAATTGGGTACGTTTTTGGAAGGACAGTGAATACGCGCGGCATTATGAGAAAGCTAAAAATTCCGGTCGCAACACGAAAAATGCGCACGACAGTATCGCTCCGAACGAGCAAGGTGATGTGAGCAATTGTACTGATACTAATATGCATAGTGGTGCAACAGACAGCATGAACAACGAAAACGATGAAATTTCTCGCGCGAGCGCAGATTTCAACGGCGACAAGAGCTATGTAAACAACGAAACTACTCGCTTTAACGCGAGTGCAGATTTCAGCGGAAACAAGAGCGAAGATTTCAGCGGCGACAAAAGCGCAGATCTCAATGGCGACAAGAGAACAGATTTCAACGGCGACATGAGCACAGATCTCAGCGGCGACGAGAGCTACGTAAGTGACGAAACTTCCCGCATGGACGCGAGCGTAGATTTCAACGGTGACAAGAGCCGTGTAAACAACGAAATTTCCCGCATGGACGCGAGCGTAGGTTTCAACGGAGACAAGAGCGAAGATTTCAACGGCGACAAGAACCGTGTAAACAACGAAACTTCCCGCATGGACGCGAGCGTAGATTTCAGCGGCGACAAGAGCGAAGATTTCAACGGCGACAAGAGCCATGTAACCGACGAAACTGCTCGCATTGACGCGAGTGCAGATTTCAGCGGAGACAAGAACGAAGACTTCAGCGGCGACAAGAGCTATGTAAACGACGAAAGTGCTCGCTTTAACGCGAGTGCAGATTTCAGCGGAGACAAGAGAGAAGATTTCGGCGGCGATAAGAGCTATGTAAACGACGAAACTGCTCGCATTGACGCGAGTGCAGATTTAAGCGGAAACAAGAGCGAAGATTTCAGCGGCGATAAGAGCTATGTAAACGACGAAACTGCTCGCATTGACGCAAATGCGGATTTCAGTGGAGACAAGAGCGAAGATTTCAGCGGCAACAAAAGCGCAGATTTCAGCGGCGACAAAAGCCATGTAAATGACGAAACCGCTCGCATTGACGCGAGTGCAGATTTCGGCGGAGACAAGAGCAAAGATTTCAGCGGCGACAAGAGCTATGTAAACGACGAAACTGCTCGCATTGACGCGAGTGCAGATTTCAACGGAGACAAGAGCGAAGATTTCAGCGGCGACAAGAGCTATGTAAACGACGAAACTGCTCGCTTTGACGAAAATGCGAATTTCAGCAGAAACAAGAGCGAAGATTTCAGCGGCGATAAGAGCTATGTAAACGACGAAACTGCTCACATTAACGCAAATACGGATTTCAGCGGAAACAAGAGCGAAGATTTCAGCAGCGACAAGAGCTATGTAAACGACGAAACTGCTCGCATTGACGCAAATACGGATTTCAGCGGAAACAAGAGCGAAGATTTCAGCGGCGACAAGAGCTATGTAAACGACGAAACTGCTCGCATTGACGCGAGTGCAGATTTCAGCGGAGACAAAAGCGAAGATTTCAGCGGCGACAAGAGCTATGTAAACGACGAAACTGCTCGCTTTGACGCGAGTGCAGATTTCAGCAGAAACAAGAGCGAAGATTTCAGCGGCGACAAGAGCTATGTAAACGACGAAACTGCTCGCATTGACGCGAGTGCAGATTTCAGCGGAGACAAAAGCGAAGATTTCAGCGGCGACAAGAGCTATGTAAACGACGAAACTGCTCGCTTTGACGAAAATGCGAATTTCAGCAGAAACAAGAGCGAAGATTTCAGCGGCGACAAGAGCTATGTAAATGACGAAACTGCTCGCTTTGACGAAAATGCGAATTTCAGCAGAAACAAGAGCGAAGATTTCAGCGGCGACAAGAGCTATGTAAACGACGAAACTGCTCGCATTGACGCGAGTGCAGATTTCAACGGAGACAAGAGCGAAGATTTCAGCGGCGGCAAGAGTGCAGATTTCAACAGCGACATGAGCACAGATCTCGGCGACGATAAGAGCTATGTAAATAACGAAACTCCTCGCATCGATACAAGCGCAGATTTCAGCGGCGGCAAGAGCGCAGATCTCAATGGCGACATGAGCGCAGATCTCAGCGACGATAAGGGCTATGTAAATAACGAAACTCCTCGCATTGATGCGCATTGAGCGCAGTTTTCAGCAGCGGCAAGAGCGCAGATTTGCGTGATAGTGATAAAGTTTCGGACGATATCGCTTCGGAAATTCTTTCAATTGTAAATGCCTATTCATTAAGCAGAAATGTAGAAGATGGACGACGCAGGAGATCATGACCAGGCACATCGTCGTCTGGATTGAATAGTGTTAAGAGAAAATGTAGAGATATCAAAAGTAATCGTTTTATTGGTTAACGTGGCACATTGGATTCTTATTTATTTTTATTCGAGACATATAATATAGCAAAGAAGCTTTCGTTGTCCAGCTCGTTCGATTACATCAGGCGAAGCATTAGGTAGCTGCGATATCACGCTTACATCACAATCCAATGAAACTCGATAATTGCAAAGAACTGAGCGTGCGACGCTGTTCAAAAAGTGTCCAATAACTTCGGCCTCCTATTCGCAAGAGAGAAAATAATCATAAGCGTTGCCTGTCCAATATAGTTTGTCCAGTATGATTGTACAGTATGACCAAGTTAGTGGCCGTTAGTAGCAGTGATAACGTAAGTTCTATTTTTCTCTTAATTTACAACGTACCTGTAATCTGTAATAACAAGGTGTACAATAAAATACGATTGAAAAAAAAAACCGCAATTAAATTCTTACCGAGCAACTCAATGCTATGGTGAGTTCACGATGTAGTCAATCTGTCAAATCGACGCTATTGTGTAGAACAGTAGACTCAACCATAGAACTGTGCTTCAGATATCATTTACGATCAGGATGATTGTCGTCCGACAGTATACCATTGATGCGTGCGTAGTTGATAGACATCATTGACGGGTAGCCGGAACGTATGGTTCATTTGTAACTTGGCTTGTCTCGACGTATCTCTCTGAACGTGGCGAACGATAAAACAATTAATTAAGCGCTGATAAATGATCGAGAAACACTATGTTAAATCGAAAAATGTTTCAGACAAAAGTTGCATGATTTAAAGGAGCACATAGGACAGTGATATCGTTTTGTTTATAGATGGTGCCACTTTTAAGATATTTACTGATTGTTACTTTTCTTCAATGGAAATCTCAATTTTTTATTATATTATCTTATTTTATCACTTAATTTGAGCAACTTTCATTCGAAACATTTTTTATTTGCCTAATATTTTGTTAAATATTTAAGGAAAACTCTTTCATCATTTAATTTATGATATATCGCTAACTATTTGTCGGAAGAAAAAGTGGTATTAGACTTTTTTATTCCAGTTGGTCCCTAGAATATATTGCTACAATAGTACCATAATTTTTTATTAACTTGTCGACCTTTGAAAATTTCTATATCGTCAAATTAACAAAAAAATTAAGGCACTATTCTAGCAATATATTCTAGAGATTAAATAGAATAAAAAAGTCTAATATTACTTTTTCTTCCGATAAATAGTTAGCAAGATATTATAAGTTAAATATTGAAAAGTTTTTCTTAAATATCTAAAAAAATATTAGGCAAATAGAAAAATGTTTCAAACGAAAGTTGTTAAAATTTGTTCGTAGAAAAATGTTTCAAACGAAAGTTGTTAAAATTTGTTCGTAGAAAAAGACGACATAATAAAAAATTGGAATTTTCAGTTAGAAAAATAATAATCAGTGAATATCTCGAAAGTGACGTCATCTGTAAACAAAATAATATATATTTTACATGTCCCCTTTGAAATTGTACAACTTTTATCTGAAACATTTTTTTCTAAAATGTCGCGTTTACAAGAAAAACGTGGAAGAATGATGCGGATGGCAGCGTAGGCCGGCCATTTATACGGGAGCGCAGGGCGGCCATTTATACGGGGGCACAGGGCGGCCATTTATACGGCAACGTGAAGCTGAAGAAGTTATCAAGTTTTCCTTAAATATCTAAAAAAATATTAGGCAAATAGAAAAATGTTTCAGAATAAAGTTGTTAAAATTTATTCGTAGAAAAAGACGACATAATAAAAAATTGGAATTTCCATTTAAAAAAATAATGATCAGTGAATATCTCGAAAATGACGTCATCTGTAAACAAAATGATATATATTTTATATGTCCCCTTTGAAATTGTACAACTTTTGTCTGAAACATTTTTTCCTAAAATGTCGCGTTTACAAAAAAACGTGGAAGGAAGCTGCGATAGTAGCGTAGGCCGGCCATTTATACGGGAGCGCAGGATGGCCATTTATACGGGAGCGTGAAGCTGAAGAAGTTATTAAGTTTTCCTTAAATATCTAAAAAAATATTAGGCAAATAGAAAAATGTTTCAAACGAAAGTTGTTAAAATTTGTTCGTAGAAAAAAATGACACAATAAAAAGTTGGGATTTCCGTTTAAAGAAATAATCAGTGAACATCTCGAAAGTAGCGTCATCTGTAAACAAAATGATATATTTTTTATATGTCCTCTTTGAAATTATACAACTTTTGTCTGAAACATTTTTTCCTAAAATGTCGCGTTTACAAAAAAATCAAGTGGTACGGGTGGTCTGTGACGTATATTTACAGCACATTTTGCATAAAAAGAAAACACCTTCAACTATTAAATCGAAAATAATTCTATCAAATCGGAAATCTAAACTGTCTCCAGCTAATGTAGTTAATACACGAGTTTGCAATAGCTTCAAAGTTTACGCAAAGGCTTCCCGGGCCATTCGATTATCAGATGATAGATGTTCGGAGTATAAAACACGTTCCCTGGATTTTAGACGAAAACTAACGATTGCGTTATGTTCAGCAGGTCAAAATCCTCTGGGAATGATACGTTTTGTCCGTTTTCCACGATAAGCCGAGACCGACCCAATTTACCGACCAATTCTTTTCACAAGTTCTTTTCAAAGATTGATATTTTAACAAAGATTAGGGTACTATTATAGCAATAAAAATGTTTTCTGTTTCTGAAAATATATTAGTTAGCTTGAAATAACTTATTACAAGAAGACCGACCGCAATGTTTTCGCAGATTTACTATATTTCTTTTATGAATTTTTATCGTTTGTCATTTTGCAATAATTTTAAATGTATCAACATGCTCCATGTATCAACCATCCTCGGTTTCTCCTACCTTTTCCGCCTGACGCTAGGCAATTGATTCTGCGTGCGCAAGTGCATACGTCCCATTTCTGGAACGTTGTTGATGATGTTGTTGCAACCTGAAAAAAAGAAGCGAGGGTGGCGGGGGGGGAAGAAATAAAGGTATTCATTATAAAATATCTATTGTGGTTTATTTTTTTACAATTGTGCAGCGAGTACGTATTACATGTCAAATATGCGGCGTCAAATATGAATTACAAATTTAGAAAAAGAATGTGTTGCACTCGCTCATTCTCGAAACATTACATTCATGCTTTGCAACCGCGTTCGCGAAAGTAGATCCATTGTAATTTGAAAACTCAAAATTTATAGCGATCCGTATGTTACGTTTTCGATTTAAATACGATTTTCGCGGTGCCTGTCGTGTTTCTTCACCTTCTAATTCGTGTGTAGCATTTGTTACTTGATAAAAATCTTTTAGGTTAGAATTAAACAATGATACAATGCGCTCACTGTTCATATCGCAATTCGACGTTTCTGGAGCAGTAAACGTATCACATCTCTGAAACGATTTTTCTTGTTGCTGCTGTTCCACAAGCGCCGCTACTTTCCGCTTTGAAGAAGGGAGTGTCTCGTACAATACTTTCTTTATTGTCTTTTCATTATGCCTAGCGTATATTGTACCGCACCGCACTGGATGACGATCGGGCGACCTGAGCGTTACGTCGTAAAATAAAGAGCCGTCAGATTTACGCGCTAGGCTAAGTATTCCTAGGTTTGCCGAAAAACTAGGTGTGACAAGTACGCAGAAACCGTCATTGCGAACACAAAGTACAGTATATTTTCGACTCGCATAAAACGGCTGGTCGCGCAACATTTTTATCGGCTTTACAGTCCAATGACAAATGTTGAAATGTAGCGTTTGGACAATTTTTTGAATCATCGCAACAGCGTCTACGGACGAACGATTTGGTTTTTTTAACAACGCGGCAGTGCGAGTTATTCCGCATGACACAATCGTGAAGGCAAATGGCAATTCGTCTAATATGCTTTGCGATGATTCTTTTATAGTTTCTTGCAATAATGACGACCATTTGTCCTTCGTTCGCTTTGAGCGCCTGATTCGTATATAATCGATTGTTTGCGAGTTTTTATTGTACCACGACATGCTAGGTCCTCTACTGTATATATTAACAATACCTTCGGATAAAAATTCATAAGTTATAAGTTTAGGCGATTGCATCTCGATACCTGCAGAATTTGATACGTCAAAGCCGACTCAATTGATTAAACACCAGGGCACAACGTGATTAAATTCACAATAGATTCTCTAGAAGTTCTTCACAATATTCCCGATTAGGCGATGTAGAGATCGCACTTACTTGCTGTAACGCATTCTCGTGGCACGCACGTCGACATTTGTCCAGGTGTGCTTCGATGTAAGCCTCGGACTCTGCATTCGGACACTTGCCGATCACTGCTTCATTCAACATTCCTCAAGAACGAGCGTTGTTTTGCGATGAGACGATAGCCATATCTTCTGCGGGTCCGTTGAGAAAAAAGGCACTTGCTCCCGCCACTTGTGGAATGTCTATAATATTTTGCACACTGAACTTACGTTTGAAATTTTCATTGGATATAATATCTAATTACTTCATCCAACTTTTCGTACTGATGTCCAAATTAACGTAGTTCATATTATCGCACACTTGCGGAAGTTGTGCCGATTGCAGCTGCAATGGCGGATACGGGTACTCTGGTACAGATGTTGAGTGCAGCACTTGCACTGGTCGTCCTTGTGGAGGCGGTGTTCTGTACGTAAAATTAGGCGACGCGAACTGTACGACTGACAATGATACCTCGGCTAACGATGAAAATGACGCCAATGGTATTTCAGCCTCTTTATTCTGCGAAGCGATCTGAAATCCGTGCGCGTCGCGCTTCAGCAAAATGGATATGTTATTAGTCAACATATCA